ATGGGGCAGAGACAGACAGATAGGTTTCCCAAAAAAGCAATAGCAAATTATGTGTTTGGTTGCCAAGATAACAGCACAGATGTGTCCATCTAAGACATCAAGGGTCAATTCTGACTTGAAAGAAATTTGACTTAAGTAGTGTAGATCCTCTTTCTCAGATGCTGATAATTTCACTGTCTTTAGGAGCCTCTTATAGCATGTGTGAAATCCTTTCATCTCTTCAGGCTGTTTTTACAATTTGCTGAGTGGCTGCTATAGGTTCATTGACATATAAACTGGATTAACGGCTGCATAAAAGTTCTCCCTGGATTGCATTTGTCTATGTGGATGCTCCAGTATCTATTTTTAATTCCTTTAGCTTTTGACGAAACAATCCCACCAACATGTTTAATACTGCCCAAATTCCTGCTTATACAGCCAATTCTACTTTTAATCCAATTTATTACCACCTTGGCAGTATGACCTTGCTTTTGTCATTAACATATTGGAGAGAGAACTAATTACTGCAATTTTTTAAAGGATTTAAGTTAAGAAGTAAGGAATTTCCCTCTCCCCCCCCCCCATTTTCAAGGCTTAGGTGCAGGGCAGTGTGTGCTTTGTGTCAAAAAAACAACAATTAGAAGAGACGATTAAGCCAATCAAATGTGCAATTTTTCCTCCCTTGTTCATAAAGTTAGTTGTTCCTTTGTGTTAAAATAATTGCAATTGTCCTTTTTTCCCCCCAATGTCGTTCTGTGATGGAGATGGGTGGTCTCTGAATATGATAAATAAATAAATAAAAACAGGGCATTTTGAGGCAAATTTGAAGGTTCCTATTTACAGCATCAGGCCCAAAGAGGTGAATATAAGGAGAATGAGAATTTCTGCAAAAAATATATTAAGGCTGGAATATTTAGGATGTGGTCCTATTGCCTTTGGGAGGGTCCTGGAAGACTTTGAGGGGCGCGATGGCTCAGGAGTAAAAGATGCTGAGTTTGTCAGCTGGAAAGCTGACAGCCCTGGTTCAAGACCCAAGCACTGCATGACAGGGTGAGCTCCTGTTCCTTGCCCCAACTCCTGTCCACCCAGCAGTTCAAAAGCATGCAAATGAGAGTAGATAAATAGGTACCAGTTTGGTGGTAAGGTAACAGCATTCTGTGTGCCTTCAGCATATAGTCATGCTGGCCACATGGTCACAGAAGCATCTTTGGACAATACTGGCTCCCTCAGCTAAGAAACAGAGATGAGCACCACCCACTACAGTCAGACATGACTGGATAGGGGAAACCTTTACTTTTAACTTTACATTTTAGAGCAGACATGTCAAACTCAAGGCCCATGGGCCAGATCCGGCCCATGATGTGTTCAGATCTGGCCTGCAAGCAGACTAGTAGGAGGAGATGATTGAGTAATTACCTCCTCGCTTCTTTGGGTGTCTTGTCAGTAGCAGCAGAGCTAGCAGAGGATGGGCAGCAGGAGGGTCTCCAATGCATGGAGCTATATGTCAGCGACAACCACAAGGGTGGGTGGGCATGGGCTAAAGCACCCTCTGCCTGAGAGTGAGTGGCCGGCAAGGGAAGGAAAGGGAGGGAAGGAAAGAGAAAGAGAAAGGACGGAAGATGCTCGGGTCATGTGTTTCTTTAGTTCTCACCCTGCCCTGCCTCATGGCCTTTTCCATCTCCTCTTCCTTCATCTGTGCTGCACAAGTAACTGCTCACCTTGCAGACTTTTCCCCAAAGCCGATGGGAGGAAACGTGAGACGGGAGGTTCATGTGCACCAGGCCTGGGCCAAAGCTAATGGGGCTGCTTGGGAACATTTTAAAACATTGAAGGATGGGAGAGAATTCCCCAGATCCTGTCCAGAATGCCTGCAATCATTTCCTCTTAATAAAGATGCCTGTTGAAAGAGATATTCCAAGAGTTCTGTCTTCTTAAGATGTAAAGTGAGGTGGGTCCTTACAGCTAGTCAAGAAACCTGGACCACGCGCTGCTGAAGTGTCTTATTTAATCTTACAAGCAACTGGCCCTTTGAGGGCAACCATGATGTTGATGCGGCCCTCAATGAAATATAGAGTTTGACACCCCTGTTTTAGGGGACTTTAGGTGCTTTAAATCTCCCTTTCAGGATAAAGCAAAGATGCTGTCTTACAAGGATTCTTCAAACTGCCCCAGAAATGTCTACGTCTCTCCCTTCCTGACAACTTTGCTTATTTTAGTAAAAGCAAAGGGAATATTCTTAAGGTAGATCGGCAAAGATAGTGGATTTTCCACGTTGATAACTTTCCAATTCCTGATGCACCATCAGAATGCATGGAGATAGATTGTACGACAGTGGTTTTCCAGCTTTTCTTCACCACGGTCCTCCTTTAACTACCTTTAGTGGCCACAGACCATGGCCACAGACACCCCAAGACTTAACTCAAGATTTTTCAAGCCTTCGCTTATCCCTTGTGATGACATTGTCCACCCTCCCCCCAAATCCACGGACCACAGATTGAGAACCACTGCTGTAGGATAAATGGTTTGTCATTGCAGCCAGGGGAAGAAGAGAATTTTCCTGGGATTTTCTTAGGAGAAATACATTGGGGGGGGGGAGGAAGATTTAAATATGCATGTTTATTGCTACTGCCTATCATGCTGCAGTAGCTAAAAGCACTGTAACGGAAATAAAAGAAAGTTGTGGCAATGTTTTTGTTCATGTTCCTTTATGAGGGCCAATGAGCAATGCTGTTGGTTGGCTAAGGCAAGCAGAGAGCAAACTAATTAGCCAAATTGGTACTGAATATATAAAGCCTCTGCACCATCTCTGAAAAAGCAGTAAAGAGGGCCCCACACAAACCGATCAGAAGCTGTGAAATCTATGTTTCTCTAAACTACGCCTGTTTTACATGTATGTAATTATCAGTCTCTTTTCTTCCTGTTTTGTGCAAGGATTGGGGGAGAGGTAAAACTGAGAAGCCTTGCACTTAACCTTGTGAATTTATTTCCATTCACATAAACATCTTACCAACAAAATACGCCTTTCCAATTTTAAAGCCAAGCACCGCACGGCAACATCAGAGAAAACCCTAATCTATAGAATAGCTGAATTCTGTTCGGCACATTAATTAAGAAGTGAATTAAACTGAGTTATTAAGGAAAAAGAAAAAAGAAAAAAAAAAGAAAAACAGCCTGGACAAAATGAATCCCATTCGTAATTCTGCAAACCTTCCAAGATAATGAAGTTCTGGAGCTGAACTGAAGGTCAAAGAAATGTCTCTTTGTTTGCCTTAAATAATGTTTAAGAAGCATTTGTTGGCAGACACAGAACCTCTTCTATTTATGCCTGATTTTCTTTGTTTCTTTTCTCTCCCCTCCTTCCCTCTTCCACTGATATCAAAAGTTAATCCAGAGGGATCCAGTGAAGATTCAATTGGAGTTCAATCACGCGTTTTTTCCAAACGGATCTCTGTCATCACCGAGCTTAGTAAGTTTTTATTTAGGAACAAATTTCAACGAAGCAATATGCCTGATGCATTATTTATTTACTGCCAGCTCTCTTTAGAATCTGCAGATAGAAAGTGACAGCATGCCGTGTCCAAAGAACAATAAAAGGGTTGACTTAAATGTTAATTCAGCAACTTTAAAGACGTCTCGATGGCTTATCAGGAGAATAAATATAATGAAGTGTTACAGAGACACAGCAGGAACCTAAACAAAAGTTTTCCATCTGGAGAGGTTTTCTCCCACTCCTGCCTAAGGGTGGGTACACCCAGAATGATGATTTTTTTTAATTGATGTAGTTATGATGGACAGAACATAGAATAACAGAGTTGGAAGGGACCTTGGAGGTCTTCTAGTCCAGCCCCCTGCTTGAGCAGGAGACTCTATACCATTTCAGATGAATGGTTGTCCAGTCTCTTTTTGAAAGCCGCCAGTGATGGAGCACCCACAACCCCTGAAGGCAAGTTCTGTTGGTCGATTGCTCTCACCGTCAGGAAATTTCTCCTTCGTTCTAGGTTCCTTCTCTCCTTCGTTAGTTTCCATTCGTTGTTTCTCGTCTTGCCTTTTTGTGCTTTGAAAAATAGTTTGACCCCCTTGTCTTCCATTCTATATATATATAGAACAGAAAATGAGGTATATTCTATACTTCTGTTCCCTTCTCTCCTTTTTTTAATGGCTTAAATCATTGTTGATTTGTAGACAAATCCCTGCAGTTTTCTTGGCAAGATTTTTCAGAAGTGGTTTACCCTTGCCTTCTTCCTAGGCCAGTGGTGGCGAAACTATGGCACGGGTGCCAGAGGTGGCACTCAGAGCCCTCTTTGTGGGCACTTGTGCCATCGCCCCAATCCTAGGCCTTCAGCTGGGTTTTATAAAACCTTTCCGCTTCAGGCCTCCGCCGCCGTGTGCAAAAAAAAAAAAAAAGGTTTCAATCAATCAGTCAATTTCAACTTCTCATGGGAAAAAAAAGATCTTGCAAAGTTGGAATTGATTGATTGAACTTTTTAGTCCCACCCAGTCTGCTGTTACCACCGTAGCCACGCCCACCCAATGGGCCACACCCAGCCAATTGGCCAACCCACCCAATGGGCCACGCCCACCCAGCACCCAACGATACATAAGTGGGTTTTGGGTTGCAATTTGGGCACTCGGTCTCTAAAAGGTTTGCCATCACTGTCCTAGGGCTTCCAGACAGCTTTGTGCCTAAGGTGGGACTAGAACTCACGTTTCCTGGTTTCTAGCCTGATGCCTTAACCACTATGCCATTCTGGCATATCTGGATATCCGGACCTAAAAAGCTGTTGTCCGTTTAAGGACAATGGAGGATCAGAGGCTCATTTCTTTCCTGTCATTGCAGAAATGCTCTGTGCACTCAAAGCATGCAAGGTCTCTGCAGAGGCTATGCAGCTGCTTTGCAGCACTTCCTACTGTGGTTGTTCGACACAGTGTTGTGTAGTCATGCAGTCATTCCAGAAAGCACTGGTCTCCTGGTTTCTAGTTTGGTGCCTTCATCACTGCACCAAACTGGGTCTGTGTATCCCAGTTTGTAACATATAAGCGTCTGGGAAAACTGCCATGGTTTAATGGGAGAATATATCTTCGCTGTACAAACTATTGACAATCCAGCCTCTTTGGCATTTCTGATAGGGCTGAGGAATACTCTGGGATGAAACCTTGCCAGTTAGTGGAAATAATATTGAAATGCACAAAGAAACACTATTAATATTAAGATTATGAACTGGGGAAGCAAATTGATCTCAGTAAATTAGTGCATCATGTAACTAAATTGAAGTGTACAGCTATATATACCACACCCAAACAGTTGTGATATTACTGGCAGTGGAAATTCTTAAATTATGGGAAGCGAAATTTGGTGCCTAATTTTCAGAATTCCTCCAGAGGAATGAGGAAATGAAACAAAAAGAAAAGAAAAAGCTTTTGACAGTTCCTCAAAAGGAGTGAAAACATAATTCTACTAAAACAATGCAAACGTTAAACCCGCAAAATCTATTGGATGAAGTCTTTCCCCAGAATACATTGAAAATCTGAAAAAAATTGGAGACCATCAGGGAAACAATTTATTTATTACCTTAACTTATATGTTCAGCCACTTACTTGCCACTCAACCTAAGGCAACTAACAAGAACAATAAAATTAAGAGCAAGAAAGTCACCCAAATGTGTTTGGCTACATACTTACATATAGTATATATATACATACATATTGCATATATGTGTGTATTTCCAAATACAATTTTCCTTTGAAAGCTTTCTAAAATAAATTCTTCCATTAAACTACTCTGGGAGGGGAATTTCTGCAACTGGCACAATATAGGGCGTCTTTGAGTTATGACTGTAATTGAGCCTGGCAATTACTGTCATAAGTCGCAACAGTCATACAATGAGTAATTATGTGACCACACCCAATTTTGCAACTTTTTTGTGACAGTTATTAAGCAAACACATTGTTCACTATGGGCTGTTTTTTTGCCATTACCGTTACCATTTGCCATTACTTTTACTGGAGGAGATTCTGGCAAAAACATGATTATGGGACACTGCAAATGGTCATAAATGCAAGCCAGTTTGCTGAGTCCCCAAAATGCAGTCAGGTAATGGGAAAGGGATGATGTTAGAACTTCAAAACTGGGTAGTAAGTAGCTTTTGGGGTATCTCTCATAACTTTGAACCATGGTTAAGCTCCTGGTTATAAGCTGAGGACTACTTGTATGCATCTTCATGCTGTAGCAATGAACCTAGTGGAGTTTTTCTCAACTTATAATTTCCATTTATGATAGGCTGATATATGCAAGCAGTTGATCTTGTGCTGTATGTTTATATTTTGATATTTTCTTCTCCTACAGAGGTAGCTGCAAACGCACAGTTCTTTCAACAGGGCGGAATAGAAAACTCTGACATGTTGGACCCTAATTTATCCAAAGGATCACTGTTTTCTGATAGCTTTTTGGATTCTCTCTTGTGCACAGTAAGTTCCTGAAAGGTCACCCAGTTCAAATTTCTTATTAAACTGTCCTTTTCTGTAGGATGAATCAATTAACTCCTTGGTCTTCTCCAACTTTGTCAGAAGTACAAACTGATCTTCCTTGTTCAGTTGAATTAATTTTGCTTATCTAAAAATAGCTATCTCTAATCTAGCCAAGAGAACCCCAGTCAAAGTACCACATGTCATCACAATACAATATATTGATTTACCATAAAGACAGACATATTTATCTGGACATTCATGATCGCTTAACTGGTGTTCCTGAAGATACATAATGATTTTTACAAAGGACTTGCCTCGGCATCACAAACAGCAGTGCTCAGTTGGCTTAAGGTTTTAGGTTTATTTCAGAATTATAACTTTAGGTCAAATTTGATACACACATAAGCAGCTTCACAGTGAAGAAAGCATCCGGAGAATCAAACCCAAGAAAAAGAGTTCAAAAGCAAACAATGTCAAATGTTGAAGGTCTTTGCAGATAGAAATCCTAAAACAGAAATCAATCAGTCTTCACAGACAGGCAGCAACCAGCAAGCCCAGTAGTTTCATAAATATCACCACTCTCTTACTCTGCTAAGCATAGGTACTCCTAATCAGGTCTTGTTTCCTTCAGCAAGTTACTTCTAACTCACCCTGCCAGGTTCAGTTGCTTCTCAACATAGGTGAATATTCTTATTTCTGTTTCAGTATTGATGAGAGTTGGATAGATGAAGCTTAAGGTCTAAATCAAGGACTGTTAGGTCTAGAACTGAAATTGTAGGCCTGGTTATTGGCTCAGCTTCAACTTCTTTTTTAGAGTATGTCTTCCCTGGTCTTTCTCATCTAAAGAGCAGTGTCAAGACAAGTTATGCCATGACAGAGGTTCCAGGGCATTCCTTGACTTCAAAATCGATTCTGAATTAGGTAATTTAAGTGTCAACACTTCCTTCTGAGCTGGAGAACATATGAGGTATGAGCTGTCACTGAGTTAAGAATTGCCAACTGCTTGGGGACTCAGGTTAAAGAACACAGAGTATGGTGCTGAAAAATTTTCACACTTTGGGTCCAAGTATCTACCTAAGAGAATAAACAGGCTTTCCAACCCAATCAATTTGTTCTATGGAGATTCTCAGTCATCCAGGTCATGGTTGTCCCAAAGTGCTTTGCCAAAGGTCAACTGGACTCTCTTGGTTTTTCCTTGAAAATATTTTTTCATCCAAGAGGCTTCTTCAGTTCTAACTGCATGATGGGGAATTGGAATATAAATCCCCAATCTCAGAGAACTAACGACCAGATGACTGCAAAGAATATAAATCCCTCCATTTCCTACCATGCAGTTAGAACTGAAGAAGCTTCTTGGGTGAGAAGTGAAACTTTTTCAAGGAAAAATACAAGTCCAGTTGCCTTTTGGAAAAGCACCTTTGCTCCAGTCCTTGACTGTTGTCTTTCCAGCCTTGGACTAGAAAGACTGGAATGATCACAATGACCACAAATGATCATTAACAGGGTGTGTTTTGCTAAATCCATCAGAGGTACATCTAATGTCAACAGTTTTTCACTGGTGAAATCTACATTATGGGTTAAACTGTCCCTGGACTTGAGACTGGTCCCTTTCTTGATACAATTTAGGAAGACTCTCAGAATATATTTCTTCACTTAGCCCATGCAAAGCTTGTGTTATGGATTTTATCACAGCATTATTAGCTACCCAGAACCACCAGAATTGGGTAATGTATAATTTTGCTAGGCTTTCGCTAGAAATGTAAATGAAATCTGTTAAATTTCTTTTCAGGAGAAAGGGCATCAGCTGCCAAAATTCTGTCAGGGAATAGACAGAAATGAAATCACAGAATCACTAGCATTTTTCTCTCAATATGTCTCAGCTCAAAACATTCAAACAAAAATGGGTATATTTAAGGGAGTTGCATGCAAAAAAAAAAATCTAACTAGATCCGTACAAAGCAAAGCAATATTCAAAATAGTTGCATGTGAAATGTATATGGTAGGGAAAGTTACATATGGCAACAATTGTAATTTTTTAGAAACTCTCAGAATGATGGATATCTTATTGGTAAAACACTACCTAGCAGTAATTTAAATAGGCAATTTACACTGGATTTTACAAGCCTTTGTTGAGCATTGCTAAAACATAATTCAAAGAGACTGTTGATGTACTTATGATATACTGGCATAATGGCTATTATTACAGTGTTTTAATTAGTAAATAGCTTTTCCTCTTCCCCAACGTAATATGATTTTAAGAGTGCAATTCTTGATGTTCTAATAAAGCCTTCTTTGGAATATATTAAAGCAACGATGCCCAATTTTTTGGTCAGGGGCTACCACTTACTTTTCGGTGATGTATCACTTTGCAAAAAAATGTATGCACGCAGGAGAAAAATGAATTTGATTAAATTTAATTTGATTTAATCTAGCCTAGTTAAGAGAAGGATTAGGGGTGATATGATAGCTGACTTCCAATACTAGAGGAACTGTCACAGAGAAGAATGGCTCAGCCTATCTCCAGAGCACCTGAGGGCAGGATAAGAAATAAATGATGGAAACTTGTCAGAGAAAGATCCAGCCTAGAACTAAGTAGAAAGTGAGAACAATTAATCAAGTGAACAGCTTGCCTCCTAAAGTTGTGGGTGCTACATCACTGGAGGTTTTCAAGAAAACATTGTACAACCGTTTGTCCAGGATAATATAAGCTCTCCTGTCTTGGACAGGACCTCTAAAGTCCCTTCCAGCCCTATAATTCTATTATTCGAATTTAAATGATATGATTAATCCCCATGTGCTTAATAATTGTCCTCTTCGGTTACCAAATATTAATAATAATCAGCAGCAATTTTGAAGAAGTCTGGTACAGCTGCAAGTTATGAACCTTGTGTTGAACTTTGAATAAATAAATTGCAGGGATATTCTGATAGAAAATGATCTCTCTCTCTCTCTCTCTACTTGCCTGCCTTTTTATTCCGAAAACTCCAATAATGTATTTAACTCAGCAAATAAAATACAGAGGGACACAGGTGACACACAAATCCTTCTATATTTTTTTTCCAAGTCAGAGAATGCAACAATCCTTTTGATGTTAAAAAAAGAAATATCGCTCAGCCCTATAAAGCTAAGTATGTAAAATGCCAATTCCTTTTGAGCAAGATAAACCTGACCTAGTGCTCAGGATAATACTGGATAATTCCATCTTTAAAAGTGCTGATACAGCTATTGAAATAATGGAGCACAACTCACCAAAATGGCCTTATGTCTTCACAGACAAAGGCAAACATATTGTCTGCTCTGTCCTTATGCTTTCTTGTTGATTGGAACAGTAATCAAAACCTTATTATAGTGTTCTGGATATCTGCAGTTACTGTGTAATGGAACAAATATTTTGCCCAACATGTTTAATTTCTCTGGTTGATCAACCTGAAAGGCATATACTATCATCATACCCCAATCTCATATGCTCTTAGTTGTGGCTACACATGACATCCAAACCTATATTAGTCATAATGTTTGGCTAGCGCTAACTAAAATTTGAAACCCCAGTTTCTTTGGCTTATATTAAATTGAAACTGCAAACCCATCAACTCTGCATAGTTGAGGGTAAAGAGGTATTGCATTTCATGTTTAATAGGTGAATATGCATGTAACATCTTCATTGTGTTACGGGCTCATTTGAATACATAAAGTCTTTCAATTCAAGAACTGCATCTAGAATCACAAAATACGTTTGCTGGAAACTTGGAGAGAACAGTCTGTCAGATCCAGGTCTACTTTGAGTAACTTTATTATAATATGCACATCTCAGAACAAACAGGTTTCCAGCTTTTTTATTCATATTTACAAAATATAAAAATGGGACGGGAGAAAGTAAAAGTTGACATGAATTTTCTGGAGTGATTGTAGTTACCCCTTCATCCAAATTAAACTGTGTTGTGTTCTCAAAACTGCTCACCAGCTTGCTTTTTTTTTCTTAATAATTTCAATTTGGTCTGGGATTTCCAGGTTCAGCTCAGTTAGGCTTATTGTGGGTGCTAAATAGATGAAAAAAGCTTTCATCCTAACTGGAATATGATCATAGCTGGGATATTTTCTAGTAGGATAGGAAGCAGTTCAAATGAATTATTTGATTCTCCAAATTCAGCAAAGACTTTCAAAATAGTGGCTTATTTAAAACGGTATAGTTAGATAAGAACAGAAGGAACCCAGTTTTAATGTGCCTTACTTGACTTACCACTGGGTAAGTTTAAGACAGTAACAGACCATCCTACCTTACAAGATTACTACTGTTAAGAATAAGACTGTTTGTTGAGCAGTCAAGCCCCCTCCCCCCTCTTTCATAAATGAGTGAGATAGCTATATAACTCTTCCTAAATTTTGGAGACCAGTAACTCAAACATGTTGGAAGCTAATCAAAGAGAGAATCAACCTGGAATTAAGGAGAAACTTCCTGACAGTGAGGACAATCAACCAGTGGAACAGCTTACCCCCAGAAATCGTGGGCGCTCCATTGCTGGAAGTTTTTAAAAAGAGACTGGAGAATCTCCTGTCTGAGATGGTATAGGTCTTCCTGCTTGAGCAGGGGGCTGGACTAGAAGACCTCCAAGGTCCCTTCCAGCTCTATTCTATTCTATTTTATTTTATTTCAATATTTAAATTTTTAATTCTGGTCTGTGACCATAATAAAAGATAGATAGATTGATTGTAGGAATAAAAAAACCCAGGGGTGGCTACTTGCATGGTGCTCTTAGCACTTTAGAGGAACAGAAAAACATGAAAAGGAAGATTTGAAAATATGACTCTTTCTGTCTTAGGCATATATAATGCCTTCTAACAGTGTTCTCAATATGCTGAGTGACAATTTGTCAGAGAAGGAGAGGCAGAGGCAGAGGCCAGAGTCAAGAGAGGAATCAGCCTGGAGTCATTATGTTGCCACAAGCAATTCAAGTCCAGGCCCCCTTGGATTCCATTGACTTTTATCTAGAGCAATGTAGTGCTTATTGACTAGATTCTTTCATGTAGGCATGAGCAATAAATCAGTTTAATTGGAACTTGACATGAGGTCTTGATTCTTCATGCCTGACACAACCAGACCCAAGAAGCCCACAACCTGATTCTGCTAATACACTTTAAAACAAGAAATGCATATCTGCAAATTTCTTTGCAGTCAAATCAGTATGAAAGGGATTGGCCAATCAGGTGAAATTTATAGCCTGGTCATTTGATTCTGAGTGAACTGAGTTTGCAAACCTTTCTCTTATCTGACTGACACAAATGTTTTCCTTGGTTTTCTGTTATTTCTCATTGCAGACCTATCATAATTACCATGTACTGGCTTTGCTTCAGACGCTGGTGACAGGTGGGACCAGCCCAGACCTTGAAGAATATTTGGCAGAGGGGAGTACACTGATTGGCAGTAATAGCAATGTGATGTCCTGGGGAGTTAGAAACAGATGTAAACTGGCTCTTTTAACACTAGTAGATGATCCACAGTTAATGGAAGGGCTTCTGGTAAGTTTTGTTAGATGCCAGCTGATTTAATTCAAGCTAGTCCTTTTGCTCTCTCAGATAATTCTCTAATGAGTTGGAAAGCTAAGCTTTTGATAGTCTTGAGTTAACTATCATTATGTGGCTCTGGATGACATGCTTGAACATTGCCAAGCTGGTCCTAAATAGAATATTGAAATCACGATTTGCATTTAGAACATTATCCTGGAGCCAGTAGACAAAGCTTCCATCAAGGTTAATGGTTAGGAGCACCTGGACACAGTAAACATGTTTGGAGTCTTCAAACTTGGCCTTTTATGACTTGTGGATTTCAACTCCCAGAAATCCTCAGCCAGCGTGCCTGGCTAAGGAATTCTGGGAGTTGAAGTCCACAAGTCATAAAAGGGTCAAGTTTGAAGAGCCCTGTTGTAAGCTTCCATCAAGGTTAATGGTTAGGAGCACCTGGACACAGTAAACATGTTTGGAGTCTTCAAACTTGGCCTTTTATGACCTGTGGATTTCAACTCCCAGAATTCCTCAGCCAGTGTGCCTGGCTAAGGAATTCTGGGAGTTGAAGTCAACAAGTCATAAAAGGGTCAAGTTTGAAGAGCCCTGTTGTAATATGACTTGCATTTGAAAAACAGAGAAATCACCTCTGTGTTGGCTCCAGCTTTTCAATTGTTCTTAGGCAAGATATCTTCAGGTGGTCTCCACATTACTTATTTGAGTATCATAATTGTCGATACCTGAGAAAAACAGCTGGCAAGTGAACAGCTGCTTTTACAGCTGATCAATGGCAGTGGTCCAGGCAAGAATCTGCTTAGAAGGAAAAGATGATACCTTTCTAATATTTTTTTTTAAAGTCCATTGTTTGAGGAATGATTTGAATTGAGAGTCATTGGCAACTCTAGGACAATGTAAGTAACTCCCATATGTGTTATGAAATTTCCATTGTGATGGGACCTTCACTAGATGGAATAATTTTGTAAATGTGAAGTGTGAACTAATCAGATACGACTCTAAAGATGGATACATTATTCTCTCTTCCTTGATATTTCTATGGATTCATTCCGCTCAGCATTCCATGTCTGAATTCTTTGCATAAAAGATTTTCTAGAAACTGCCAATTCTATTATTTCTGATTTTTTTTTCCTAGGCCGGTTGTAGGTTCTGTTCAGCCCCATATTGATGAATCCAACAAAAAAGTGTTTGTTTTATAACACTCCTTCGTACCTTCACAATACCTATTTTTTAAAATAAAAATACCACATTGGCAATATCTACAGAAACCTGGAAAGAGCTGATGAAAATTGTTTTTAGCTTGCTATTTTCCCAAGAAGTGATGTGGGAAACCTGCCTTTTTTTTGAACTGTGATCTTCTACTTCTAGTTTATGCATCTTCAGTTAATCAAGGATGGTTGATATAGAATCAAAAGTGTTTTCTTGTTTTGCAGCTCCTATTTGGTGATGTGTTCACTAAAGCCCTTGATATGTATGGAATTCTTTGCTTCGGTATCTATCGCCTGAAAGCCAACCCCAATCCATATGATATCAGGAAAGTATAGTAAAATTGAATTTTTTCTCGTAAAGGTTTAGCTATCTGCCTGCATGTACATCAACAAGAAAATATTGGCATGTTAAATAATATTTCAAAAACTATATGGCATTTGTATTTTAAAAAGCAGCTTAGGGGATGTATAATACAATGAAAAATCATCATTAAAGGACAGAATTCAGGAGTAGTAATGAAGTAATGAGCTTTCTTTTGTCATATGAGATTTATTGTTCTCTGTTTAATCCTCTTTTAAACCCATTTCATCCAGCGCATCTTGTACTAGAGAATTATGCAATTATAATTAATATATGGAGTTGCTGTCATGAGATGCGGTTGTGACTGCTGGCTCAATTGGTTTTAAAAGCCAGTGAGATAAATTCACAGATAATGAGTCTCAGTGACTTTTAATTGTGACAGTGATGTGCAAGTCTTCAGATGAATATCTCTTGCTTGGGAGGAACAGAAGAAGGAAGCCATTGTCTTTATGTCCTGATTGTGATATTTTGTTGAAGATACTCTAGTTGGCTGCTAAGACAAATAAGATGGTGGACTATATAACAGTATAGATCAGTGGTTCTCAACCTTTTCTTTACCATGGACCTCCTTTAAATAATTTTTTGGCCACAGACCACCAAGACCTAAGATTTAAATCATAACATTTGTTCAAAGCTTTGTGGACCCCTGCGGTCAATGGACCACAGCTTGAGAACCACTTGTAAAAATATCTAATATCAAAAAAAATGGATCAGATTTTTGACCTAAAGGGCTTTCTGGAGGTAGTATCTTCCAGATCTTCTGGGACTTTGGCATCCATCATTAGAGTTGATGAACATAGTTTTCTTGTAATATAAGTCAGAGGATGAATCTGTAACCTCTTCTATTCTACCACCTTCTCTTTCACAGAGAGCAAGAATTCTTATGCTATTCCATTAACCAAAGGCATCTTCCAATTCAGAAATAACTCAGAGGCTTATGACATTGACATAAGATGCCTTGTAGCCCTGCCAAATATTTCTACCTTTTCTCCTAAAATTCCTTCAAGTTTTTTTTCCCCCACATGAGTTAAGCAAAGATAGCCATGTAAGATTAGTACTTCTCTATTTTTGGCTGATTTTCTAATCCAGTATTGTTGCTGTTGAAAACTATAGCATTATTATTCAATAAAAGCTTTTCATCATCAATATCTTACAAGAAAAACAATTCTATTACTCTCCAACATACCATTTAACTTGTCAATGAGAGGAACCAGTGTAAGATGCTATTTTAAAATAATTTTCTGTTAACCTCTTTCTTTCTGTCCATGTTATGTAAGTTTTCAGGTCTTTGAATACAGTTATTTTTGTACATTAGTTGCTCTAATTGTCTTATACATTTGTGTGTTTTTTTTCTCATGACCAATACAGCTATTGTTTTGAATTGATTTCCATATTATTGGTGACTTTTTCCCAAAACAGGTTTGTGATTCCTCGGCCACCCACTAATTTTGAGATCCTTGCTTCTGATCAACTCTTTTGCCTTGCTCCATATAACATTTTATCCAAAGACCTAACAAATGTAGTGCAGACTATTCCACCAAAACCTCCAAGGACTGCCCCTCAGAAGAAAGAAAATGACTCTTCCTTTATAAATAAAATCTTCTTTCTTTAAGAAGTGTCTGTGACCATTTGTTTTAAGTTGGTTTTCTTTCTTTTTTTTTACCCTAGAGATTTGAAGTAATCTTCGGTGCAAACAATAAGGATCGTTCATAGAGTTGCAACGTAGAAGATTTATTCAGTTCTATAACACAAGAGTATGGTTAACTAATGGTCAGCACTAGATAAGGGTCAAGGGAATTCAAGGGGACCTGGATCTTCTGTGGAAATGCAAGGACTCTAAACTGATGATGCATTTAACTCTACTGCCCAGCTCTGCCTGATCTTCTCCCACATATAAGCAGTGCTTCTTTTGTCATAGAATGCACCAGAACAGAGTTCCGGCACCTTTTTTTGATGGATTTTCCAAGTTTTAAAAGTAACTTTTAAAAATTTGATGTTTGGTCCATGTAGACTTGAATGGCCCTGTCGAGCATAGCAGGTCAGTGGCAAAATCATTAAAATGGTGCATGCGGGCTGTCTGTGTGTCAAGTCCAATGCATGCGTACTTTGTCCGTGCTGGTTGTGATGGCGTTGCTCAGCTTGTGGCACTCTTCAGNAATCAGAGCACAGTGAACCCCCCATCCAATCAGAGCACAGCCAGGCTCCTTAACCAATCAGAACACACCTCCACCCAATCAGAACACAGCCAAGCTCCCACCCAATCAGCTCCAACCCCACTGGCAGTTAAAAGGAAGAAACAGCTGCGATCACACACCACTCTTAGAAGCACGAAGCTGAAGACACCAGCCTGAAGATATTCTTAAGAACTTTTATTTCTAAATTATTATTATTAAATTATTTATTCCCTGGTGCTCACGTCTATTGACTGACTTTGAACATGGATATACCCGGGGATCACATTTTTAAAGTAATTTCGGATATATATATATATATATATACTATATATAAGATTAACAAGATGTGAGTTCCAGCACCTTTTTTCTTACAAAAAAAGCACTGCATATAAGAATGCTTAAACATTCTGCTACTTACTTGAAAAGACTCTAAAACTTTATAACAATTTGAGGATGGCATTCCTCTATCTGATCCACCATCTTCTTGATGGTGTATTTTAAAACATGTCTCCTTTTCCCAGAATTGGTTATCAGAGAGTATTTTCCTTAGATTTCAATTAAAACTTTTGATTGACTCAATTAACATGAAAATGAGGAAGTATGGAAAAGAAAATCATACTTCATGTATGATTTCATATATAATCATTTGCTTGGGCTCATTCTTAAGGTGGGCAGCCATGTTGAATTGAGTCTGATCTGTTCACACACAGAGACCAGAGGAAAAAAGATTATTGCCTGAACAATTATATCAATTTAGAGCACCTTTTCTTAAAGACAAAATTAGAGACAAAATAAGTACGGGAATTTATGTTGGTCAGCAAATGCTGCACTATTCTTATCACATGATTTTATCTCCAGTTTATTAAACTAAGATATACACAATCCTATTAAGTTAGAAAGCTCCTTTATACAAAGTTAAAACATTACATTGTTTGGCTAAGTGCTGTTGTGATGAGGTATATAGATCAGGCCCATTCCAGTTCTCATGTTTGAATTAACTTGGAGAACCAGTCAGTTTAAGTGTCCAGACTGATTCATACTGAATACCAAATCAAATTTGATTTAAATCAGTTTGGACTGATTCAGACCACTAAAATGATGTGTGGATTTCGAACCAATCAAGCACTCCAAATAAATCCAGTTAGGCCCAAATTGATCTGAAACTTCAAATATCTCTACAGACATACTATTCCTAATTGACAATGATTCAACAGCGTTTCAGGCATGAACCTGACTACACTCATTTGTAATGTCAGGAGTTGTATTGTTATCTCTTGCACAGAGGCATATGTGCAATCCCTAAGCTGGGGCATCCCAAACACTGCAATACTGTGATTGCCTAAACGAAATTATATTAATGCATATAGACATGAGTAAAAGCGACAACTCCATCAGAGATAGGCTTGGGGATTGATTGATTGATTGATTGATTGAATGAATGAATGAATAAAAAACAATAGCATAATGACTAAAGTTTTATCTCCATTTCACCAGGAATTCTCAAACTTTTTAATTCTGTTATATCCTTTCGACTGCAACGGATTTCAAACTCAATAAGCTAAATAAGGAACTAATCCCAAAGCAAGTTTTAGCAGGACTTTTACTCCCCCCCACTTTCTTTTTCCCTTTTAAATGTACACTTCCACCAAGTTGTTCGAAACTCTCTATGGGTTCCAACCCACCCCTGAGAAAAATCCTGCACTGAACTATGGATTTTGCCCAAGATAGAACATAGAACGTGGAAATCGGAGTCAGAAGAGACCTTGGAGGTCTTTTACTTCAACCCCCTGCTCAAGCAGGAGTCCCTATACCAGGGGACCGAAAACAAAACACTGGGAGCCGCAAAACCCTTTGGATATCTAAAATGAAGCTAACACTGCATATAACCTTTTTTACCTTTATTATAGGTATAGGTATGTGTGTGTGTGTGTGTGTGTACACACACACACACACATACTGTATATCATAAAGGTAAAAAAGGATATATGCAGTGTTAGCTTCATTTTAGATGTCAAAAGGATCTCTCTCTCTCTCTCTCCGATCTTCTGCTTACCTGGCAAGCTGGCTTCAAGCTGTTCTCCAACAAGCTCAGGGATAGGCAACCTGGGCTCTTTTATGACTCATGGACTTCAACTCCCAGAATTCCTGAGTCAGCATAGCTGGGCTAGCTAGCTCTCTCCTGCCCTTCCTGCTTCCTGCTTCCTGCAGAGACGCAGCAAAGGGAGGAGCTCCGCCCAGTAAGCTTTTCAGCTCCTGGGAGAGGACCGTGAGTCCACTCTCTTTTTTACACACAAACACACACACAGAGAGAGAGAGAGAGAGAGAGAGAGAGAGAGAGAAGCAGGAAGCGCAAGTGCCTCTCTCTGTCTCTGTCTCTCTCTGCAAATGGCAGAGGAGGCTGAGAGCCGCAGGGGAAGGCTCAAAGAGCCACATATGGCTCCGGAGCCGCAGGTTGCCGACCTGTGCCCTATACCATTTCAGACAAATGGCTGTCTGGTCTCTTCTTAAAAGCTCTCAGTGATGGAGCAACCACAACTTTTGAAGGCAAACTATTGCACCGGTTGATTGTTCTCACTGTCCGGAAATTTCACGACAGCCTTTTGTACTGTCTCAATTTACTCTCTGGCTTTGCTGATACGGAGACTATAAAGTTTCAAATGTTGGTTCTGGATCACATCAGGAAAGTGAGTGGATTGTCCCTAGTAGGCAAGCCAGTAGAAGTACTACATTTTATGCTTCTGGAACTTGAAACTGACCCCTCCTAACAGTTCGTTCAATTTGCAGCTTCCAACTGAAGCTCTCATCTTCAAAACACCTGATGTTTTAATTTAGACCACTCTTGCTTCTCCCCCACACCCTTGATTTTTGTCAACATTTCATCTTAACAACTCAGCTCTTTTGTTTAATTTTCTTTGTTCCTAGTTAGGATATTAGGATAGCTACAAAAGGACTGGGTGTTTATAAGCGATGACCATTTAACCCACACATTTCTGTTTCATCCCAAATGAGAAATTATGATTCTGAACTTTCAAACAAGTTGCTTTGGATCTTTACTTTGAGAACTTCCTTCTGTCTTCTAAAAACTGCATTCCCTAATTGATCTGTTCAGGTGAAAGAGGAAATGGTAGTTCAGCACAGAGAGCCCGTCTTAATCCCACCTTCAAGTGAACAGAGGTGACATAAGGCCCATGAGTAAAATATCCATACATCGCTCCACTGTGAAAAGGCTGGGATGGGATCACCCACGTCCCCATACTGAGCTGTGGTGGCACAGTGGTTAGAATGCAGTATTGCAGGCTAACTCTGCCTACAGCCTGCAGTTCGATCCTGGCCGGCTCTCAGCCTTCCATCCTTCCGAGGTCAGTAAAATGAGAACCCAGATTGTTAGGGGCAATAAGCTGACATTTATAAACTGCTCAGAGATTGCTGCAAAGCACTATGGAGGGGTATATAAATCCAATTGCTATTGCTATCACCCAATGCAGAATTGTGTGTATTCCTGCACTGTAGTATACACCGCTATTCAAAGACTCCAAGTCAAAGGTCTTTATGCACAACATTCCCTACAAAATGTTATTTTGCCTTGAATAAGCCCTGACTTTGTTTTACAGGGCAAAACAAAAATGAGGATTGCTTTTACGTTTCCCCCCTCCCTCTCCCCTAACACTAATTAGATCTGAAAGACTGTAGCCTGAGTCCGGCCACTGCATACAGAGAAGAAAGGAGCCTGACGCAGAGTTCAGACTAAACTAACTGCAAACTCCCTGGAGATGTCCCAAGGTAAATCTGATAGTCTCTGTCATTTATAATCAATATCAGGCAACTGAGTTCACTGCTTTAAAAAAGAAAAAAAAAACTGGGGAGCCAATTAAGTGATCCCTCAGGCAGGAGACAAAAGGCCTGCACTTCCCTTTGGTTTTAAAGGGAAAGCCGTGCGGTTATTTCAGTAAATATTGCACAGTTCTTAACTGTGGTGCTTTGCAGAGAAATTGGATGTGCTGTAGGATCATTTGAGAAATAGTCTATGAAACTGCCTTATGTTCTGGTAAACATCTATAAGAGAGGTAAACGACCTTTGTAAGATCAAAAGCAGGTGCCTTTTATCCAGTCTGTTATGGATATTGTTTAAAAACACACACATACATACTATATATATGTATGTATGTATGTATGTATATGTATATGTACACACAAGAACTGAATCTCAAAAGTTTAAACACACACTATACATATCTATACACACATACACACACTATCTCTCTATATATATATCTGTATCTATCTATCTATCTATCTATCTATCTATCTATCTATCTATCTATCTATATCTATATCTATATCTATATCTATATCTATATCTATCTATCTATTTATCTGTCTATCCAGTGCTTTTTTTCTAAAAAAAAAAAAAAGGTGCTGGAACTCACACACGTCATAC